CGCTCTGTTATGGCAAAACCGCATACGAAATGCATTTTGAGAATGACCGATAGGCTCTGAGACTTCCCAACCCTTCTCCCTCCCACACAATTTGACGAGGTTTTGTCTACTGCATCTGCACTGTCACTAACTACCCAAGGAGCTTATCTGCTGTGGTGAGTGGGATCCAAAGGATCCCATAGTTAATCAGATTACCTGTAATGGGACCAAGGGGAGAGTAGAGGGAGAGGTGGGTGTCAGATTCCTTGGATGCGTGGATACTACCTTGCACTCCCTACAACTCTCTATGGTCCCCTCGGTCCCCAGACCATAAGGGGTGGGGGTCTCCAGGTGGGTGTAACAAGGGGCAGGACACATGCGTAGCGCCATGAGAGACTGCAGCCATGGAGGCAGCTGAGGAAGTTATTCCTTGGCTACAGAGCTTCCCCATACATTGAAAAGCAAACTGATTTAGAGTGTGCACTTAAAATACATCAGTGCAAAATAAAGTGCAAAAATACTTTACTTCCCTATATGGACAGTTATTCAAAAGTACATTTGCATAAATTAAACACCTTTTGAATTAGGATCAAGACAGCAAGAGGGGCTAATAAAATTTGAAATCCTATCTACCTTTAGCTAATTCACCAGGACTTTCCTGTGTCTCCTCATGTCCTTAGTTACAAAACAGTTCTTTTGCCCACGATCAGGGTAAACGCCACCCTTAACAGTGCAACACTATGCAAATACTTGAAGAAGTCTGACTAAAAATAAACTACAGCAAATAAACAAAACAGACACTCCTGCTGTACTTTCATCCTCCATATAAAACCAGTAAGTAGCGACTGACAAATTATTATTGTTTTTAAATGTGCTTTTCCATTACGGTAATTAAAGGCATCCTTAGGAACATGGATATGAAAGGTTTTTGATAGGTGTCTTAAGCTAACAATAACCTTTTAAGAAAGTCAGAGTTTGGGTAGATAAAGCAAAAAAAAGTGAGAACCTTTCCTGCCACATTGCTTTAAGCAGGTAGTGACAGACGATCTGAGTAACCACAGCTGGGCTTAGGCACTTCTCATGGCTGAAATACACTCAGTCTGATTTGAAATGTCCTCCGGGTACAGGAAACCTGGTGCCATACACCTCGGCTGCACATACACAGCACAGTACGAACCAAATTGCACCTCCTCTAATTCCGGGACATGATGGAAAAAATAGGTAAGCTCAATGCCTGGGAAGCAGCAACTAGAGCACAGAGCTTTTCAAAGGCACTGTGGCTTCATAGGTTTTGTGCTGGCTGCATTAGCACCGAACAGCCTCATTGCTGGTCAAACTGCCTCATGCAATCAAAACACAATTTGCTCTCAACAAGCTTACAATTGAAATACAGCTAAGTTAGTTGGAGACTATTCACACAGTAAAAACGTTACTTGGTATGAAGCGTTATGCTGGAACGTTGTTCTCACTTGTATTTGCTTTTCTTGCCCCCAAACACCATTTACACTTTTTGTTCTCCCAGAAAAGAGTATCCGCAGCTCCTTTCCTCCCTGATCCTGAAACATGTCGTTACCAGTGCTTCAAACCCCCAGCTACAAAGGGCACAGCGCAGCGTCAGTGGGAACAGACAAAAGCACCAGGAGCTCACACTTGTTACGCCAGCAGTGAAACAGCCCATCCTTCATGGGGGAAAAGGGTCAGCAGCAGGAGGCCGGAAAGCAAAGCATCACCCTTGAGGGTTTATTCTCCAGTGAGAAGTATCTACATCTCCAAATTTGTTTTAGTGAGCAAACACGGCTGTCCCTGACTATCGAATGTTGCTGCTTTGTGCGAGTGAGCCCTGGGCGCTCTGAGAAGAGGCTGACCTCTCCTTACTCATATCCTGCCTCCCCACCTCCATGCCTTTTCTGGCCTGTTTTTCAAATCTTTTCAAGGTTTCTTTCTCTAACCCAGGCTGAATTCTGAGTGAGTGAAAGAGGGACTTCTCCATGGGAACAGCTGTTGGAAAACAAACCACCGAACAAAGCTAACCTTTACAACCAAGTCAAGTGATGCTTGAGTTATTACAAATACTACCCAGGATACAATAGGGCAGAATTCATCTGCCCTTTCGTTACCATGAAGCAAACCCCCGGGAATGCTTCACAGAAGCTCCTCTCCCTGCTTAAACCCCTTTTTTGCGATCCCCTGGCCAGGCTGTTGACAGCGATTCCCAGCAAGCGCTGGAAGACTTCCCTCTTGCAGGGGGAACTTTATTCAGTTCTCCCAAGGACAGCCCAACCCTGAAACACTAAAGAGAGTCAGGCTTTGTGAGAAAACAGCCTTTTAAATCACATTCCTTTGAGCAAAGACCTGGAAGTCAGGGTGGCAGGAGCCTGTCTACTCCAGATGATGCCACTGACTTTCCACTCCAGGTACAAAACAACTTTGCCTACCCTTCTTGCTACCTGGTAAACAGGGGATAATATTTATCTTGTCAAGGAATTCCTGGATAAGGGGTGCAAGTGCAGCATTGCAATTGTAAGCACAGTTGCTGCTGGAATGCTTTTCCTTGCTTTTTTTTTCCCCCCTTTTTTAATCTCGGGAGAGGTTAGATCAATATCTATCTGAACTGCCCAATCCATTTTTACTCAAGAGTTTTCTCATGATTGTCTCGTGCTGTGCAGGACTGAGCCAGAAAACAAAATCTGGATCCCAGCCACATGCCAGCCAAAAAAGAGGTTTAGCAAATTTTTGTACAAAAAAAAGTAGTATCACTTGCTAGTGTAGGTCCTAAATAAACAGAAGAGCTTGGCAGGGAAGTCATTGTATATTAGAAAGTTCATTTATAGCCAGTAGACAATTTCCTCCTCTCAGGCTGTAGTAAATCAAATAAGGGTACCATAGTTGATGGAATTACATAGAAAAGAGGACACTTGGTCCCAAAGCACAGAAAACAGTCGTGAATGGTAATTTAATTGGGTTATCTAAAATTTACATTATTTCTGCCTTTGAAGAGAAGGAAAAATAAAATTAGAGGAAAATTTATAGCCATATCTGCATATAGGATTCTTTAAATGCCCTGAGTTTAGGCATAGCACTGCCCTTTCCATCTATTTTCATGTTTTATTTTAGGATGGCTGGTTGTGACAGTGCTTAAAATGAACACAAGTGAGGATGTCAGCTGATATTAAAAGAAAATAAGATATGCTTTTGCAATTTAACCTAAATAAAAGATGCAAGTTAAACTAATTTTTAAAGACATCTGCCTTTCAATGCTGCTTCAGCGATCCTAACATTTCACAGGTTTCAGAATTATGTGATTTTTCTCAACTGTATATAGGACCGATGATTTGTTTTATATTGAACGCTCTTGCTGATGCGTCTCAATTTCTAAGTAGCACGAATAATATAGTTCATTACTAACAAACATAAGAACCGCATAAAG